TTGCCTTTTCACCAGTTCAAACCCAGCCTCCCTTAACCCCCAGCTCCCTGGGGACAGTCATGAGTGACTGTCCTTCACAGACAACTTACTTACAAAGAGCAAGTTGAGGGAGACATAAAAGGCAATTTCCCCATGGGGATTAATGAAGTGATGATTTTTATTGTTTAACATTTATTAAAATGTTGAATTGTGAAATGCGGTTGCTTTTTATTTCCCCTGACATAAGTAAAACAAGGTACTAATACTAAAGAAAGTGTTTTAACTATTTGCATGGACATTTCTGAGTAGAAAACAAAAAAATTAAGGTAGAGCTACTTTATTTGAATGATGAGGTAACTTAATATTTCAATGAATATTAAATTAATATTAAGTAGGTATTACATGACTTGATTAAGGTACACATAGGCTGACATTTGGTGCCCGAGCTGAAACTGTTCTGGGCCAGAACAGGGCCACCAACATGTCTACATCTGGCTTTGTGCTGGCCCATGTGTGGGCCACCTCTGGCAAACCAGATCTGGGCAAGCAAGGGGCCGTCATTCATTGCGGTATCTGGGCCGGGTGTAAGCGCATAGTGTGGGCCAGATCCGGGCCAGACCAAATTTGCTATGTGGGAATGATATGGGAGTTATACATATCAATTTATGTATAATAATATAAAATAACCAATTTATTTGCTGTCAGGTGACTGCATATTTAGGTTTCCACAGCAATCCGAGAGTAGAGGGTTCCTATGAAACCTTTCGTAAAACGAAAATGCTGTAAAGCAAAGAAACAATTACTACTGAGCCCACCTGGGTTCAGGTGAGAAATTAATTTGTAGTTCGTGCCGACGGTTTTGCAATCTGAGAGCATGGTCTAGTAATCCATTTGCTCAGTTATGCAACCCCTTCCCACGGATTAACAATCTGTATGCACAGTTTACAAATCTGGTCCCAGGGTTCAGCAATAGGGGAGCAAATTTTTGTGTACAAAATACATTCTGTGCCACAAAAAGCATTATTTAAGCAAAAAGACCACTTTCTTTCATGTACAGAAATCAAAACATTTCATTTTGTGCACAGAATAAATATCAGCATTTTGAATTTCGTGGACATTAGAAAGTTATATTGTAGTCGAAATGCATTTTGTGAGTGACACACAATCATTTTGTGGGCAAAATGCATTTTGTGAATTAAAGTCATTTCATGGATGAAGTTGATTCTGTGGAATCACAAAATGCATTTCCTCTTTTGCTGAGCTACAAAATGCCTTTTGTCTTAGGCTGAGTCAGGAGAGGTATGTAGTAGGCGTGAGTCCATGGGGGAAGGGGGGTAGTACCTCGCAATGACCAGAAGGTGGAGCACCGGCTTTGATTTTGCAAACACGTATAATTACGTTTAACTTAACATTAACTTAACTCCTGGACTCATACTTCTACTGCTGTATGTACTCTTTAATGTTACAATTTTTTCATTATATTTATATTTTATATTTTTAAGCTAAACCAATGAAAGATCTCGGCGCTGATTCTCTTCAATTGTAGTTGTATGTTACCATGCCATTTTCCCCTGAATAATACTGTCACCGATAGTTCAGATCAGACACACTGGGTAGCCTGCATGTAACAATAAAATGGCAAATATGAATGCATTAACACAAGGAGTCACAGACTGTCTGCGGATCCTTGTTGAATCACTGGGGTTGCAAACAATTGATGGAGCTACAGTTTCTCAATATGGTCCGCGGACTGTTCAGGGGAACAGCCAGGACAAGGCAGTCACTGGTCAACTGCCTATTGTAAGAACTGCCTATTGTAAGAACTGCGTATTGTACCACCCCCAATCACTGCTCCCCAGGCGCTGAATTAGCTGCCCCCTGTTATGTCACATATGGGTTAAATGCAGAAAACACATTTTGTTGTGGTGTATCAACAATGACAATTAGTCACTAAGCTCTAATTCCAACAACATTAAGGAGTTGTTTTGTAGCCTGTGAAGGATTCTCTATTGAATTTCAATAAGTCTATTGCAAAGAAATGTTTTCTCTATTGTCTTCAAGACATCAGACCATCTCTCCTTCCCAAGCCTAAGCCCCAGGTTCCTCTCGCATGCATTTATGATCTTGACAACATTAGAGGAATGAACACATTGTAACTTTTCATCAAAATAACAGATGGAATTCTATTTGCACTGGTATTGTAATAGAAAAGAATCAATAGGAGTAGCTATTGATTTATCTATTGGGAAGCTTGTATTATTAGTAACATGTGTACAGTAGATGATCCAGCGGTGGTAGTTTCGTGCCGACAATGGATGCAAACACATGCCTACGCTGTTTTTGCAACCCGCTGCAGGGCTTTTTTAGCAGTTTTTGTGCAGCTGAACCACTCTGTCATGCAGTTTGGCAAAATGCTCTCTATGGTACATCTGTAACAGTTAACCAGCAGCTTTTGTCAGAGCTTCGCTTCCTTAGCCTTCTCAGTAGAGGTGTTGTTCAGAGCTTCGCTTCCTTAGCCTTCTCAGTAGAGGTGTTGTTCAGAGCTTCGCTTCCTTAGCCTTCTCAGTAGAGGTGTTGTGCTTTGCCTACTACCCCTGAGGTGTTGTCGGCCCAAGAGAGGTCCTCTGTGATGGTGACTCTCAGAAACTTGAAGCTGGATACATTTACCACAGCCTCTGCTTTGATTGTTACTGGACTGTGATTGATCTTTTCAGTAGTCTTAAAGTCCACAATGATTTCTTTGATCTTCTTGGTGTTTAAGAGCAAATTGTTGGTGTCACACCATGCTGTTAGGTTCCAAACCTCCTCCTAATATGCAGCTTCATCATTGTTTGATATGGATCCAATGACAGTCATCCGATAATTTAACAATGATGTTTGATTCGTGGGTGGGTTGACAGTCATGGGTGAAAAGTGCATAATGGAGGGGACTTAGCACACAGCCCTGTGGCACACCTCAGGGTGCAGGTGGATGATGTGTACTTGCCTAACCTGACAGCCTGGGGGCGGTTAGTGAAAAAGCTCAGTAACCAGTTGCATATGGAGGGGGTTAAACCTAATGCACTAAGTAAGCTGATCAGGTGGCTTGGTATAATGGTGTTAAAACCAAGCTATAGTCAATGTAGGTGTAGGTGTTGGGCTTTTCCAGGTGTGAGAAGGCAGCATGCAAAGCCACACATATAGGGTCCACGAACGATCTGTTTGTCCGGTAGGCAAACTGGTGTTTGTCTAGATCAGCTGGGACAGAGGCTTTAATGTAGGTGAGTAACAGTCATTCGAAACACTTTGTGATGACAGGGGTGAGGGCAACGGATCATTAGTCATTAAGACAGGTGATCATATGTGTTTTTGGAACAGGCACTATGGCCAAGGATTTCAGGCATGTGAGAACTGTACATAAGGAAAGAAAGAGGTTGAATATGTGAATTATTACTTCTGCTACTTGGCGAATACAGACCTGGAGCACATGTCCTTGCACGTTATCAGAACCTGCTGCTTTCCTTATATTGATGTTCTTGGGTGACGGCCACACCTCATGTGTGTGGAGGACCAAAGGCTCCGAGTCACCTTTCAGTTTGAAGCTGGCTGGTGGTTGGTCATTGTCCTTGTTGACTCATGCAAAGAAGCCATTAAGTTCCTCTGCTAGGTTGGGATTGTTATTGTCTAGCACGTGGTGTATGACATTCTTCTTTTTGTAATCCGTGACTGAATGGATGCCTTGCCACATCTGCTATGAGTTTGTGTCATGTTAAGTCCTCCTCAATCTGCTGTTTGTACGTTAGTTTTGCAGACCTGATGTCTCTCTTAAGACTAGTTTTCTTGATTTAAGTGCTGTGTCCCTTGCCCTGAGCAGCTGTTTGACTTCACCATTCATTCACGATTTCTCATTTCTGTACACTCTGACCCTATTGTTGACAGTTATGTTATCCACATTGTAAATAATATATGATATTACAAATGAAGTATATGTACAGACGCTCCTCTACTTAGGAACGGGTTACGTTCCGATCGGCCGTTCGTAACTTTAAATGTTCGTAAGTTGTTATTCAACATCATTTTAAGGGTATATACAAGTACAAAGAACTAGAATGCTGGGAGTACGTAAGCTATGCTGCTGCGCAGCGAGAGTAGCGGCCAGAAGTTGTACTGGGTGGAATTGGCACGCAAAAAAAAATATTGATGTTGCGGAAAGGAAACAGGAGCCCAACGAACACATGGACTTACAGTCCTCTTCGTTCGTATGTCTGAAAGTTCATAAGTTGAAAGTTCATAAGTAGAGGAGCATCTGTATTTAAATTGGTCTGATGGAAAAAATAAATTCCAATCTGTGTGTTTGAAGCAGCCATGGAGTTCGGAGATGACAAAATGTTTTCTTACCAAAGTCGGGTGTTCTGTCGACATGGTGTAACATGCGTCCTGCTAGCTCAACTGCAGTATCTGATATGCTGGGCTTCAGCCACATCTCCGAAAAAATCAGTTTTGCGTCTGTCTCGTCAGGACTGCGTGAAGTTTTTTGGTGGCTGGAGTGCCAATCCTGCCACCAACCCCTGTATATTCCCTGCAAGTTGGAGGAGCACTTGCAGGTCCAGATGCAGTTTAGGACAGTAATGATACAGAAATCAGAGTTAAACTCCATAAACTGCATTTTACTTGCAAAGATATGTATAAATAAATGTTGCAGAATAATTGAGGCTGAATAATGAAAATTGAATCTGCAAAAACTCATTACACATCGAGAAGGAAGACTAGAGGCAGAGTGAGCTGACCTGAATTTTCGAAAATCAGATGTGGGTGGGGGTGGGGGTGTGGGTGTGGGTGTGGAAGGAAGCAAGAAGTTCAGAGTTATAAAGTTTCATATGATCTGAGGGCTGGAGATCAGCAGCAGGCACTTTAACTCCAACCAAGAGATCCAAGGCGGTGAGTGACAGCATATTATTTATGGATATTTGTGATTATTGTTCATATTTCATGGTTAACATCCTGTTTTGTCTTTGTTAAATTTATGTTCTGCTAGTGCACAGTTACACAACCATTAATTTGACTACAGATTGTACTAAGTATGATCAAATTCAATTTGACTTTGACTTGATTTCACTCAGAACTCTGTGACATTTGATGGCAAATTTCATGAAAAAGGAAATTTTAAATTTTTCTTACTTGTTTATTTGATACTTTTTTGCATTTTCAAATAAATATATCCAGTCTGTTCACAGTACAAAAATATAAAAATTATACATTATACTGTAGGAGCTCCCATGTTATTTCATCCGCGTGGGAAACTTCCCTGTTCTCATATATATATATATATATATATATATATATATATATATATATATATATANACACACACATCTGAAGACAATTTTTAAACAATTGTGACATATCACAATCATTATTACAAATGGGTACATTTCCCAGTGCGGGGCTCTATGTGAATCAGTATAGAGAAATTTAATAATAATAATAATTGAAACTTTATTGATCTCTGTGGGGAAATTGTTTTTACGCCTCCCTCAACTTGCTTTTTGTAGAGCAAGCTGTCTGTGAAGGGCAGCCACCTGTAGCAGCGCCCAGGGAGCTGGGGATTGAGGGTCTTGCTCAAGGACCTGCAGACGTGCTGAGGCTGGGCTTGAACCGGCGGCCTTGAGATTACAGGCACACGGCTTAGCCCACTGAGCCACACGCTGCCCTATTTCCCTATTTTCCTATTTTCTATGTGAATTAATACCTAAAACAGCCTTTAACATTCACATTTCTTCACTTGCAGATATAGGTGCTTGAAGTAAAGCAGCTTCTGACGTCAATTTATAGGAAAGCATGGCTGGTGAGTCAGTTACCACACTGGCTTTTCTGCTCTGCTGTCTAGGCCTCCGAGCTGTGCTCCGTCTATCTCTCTCTGAAGCACATAGACTGATGATCAGAAATATTGTAATCAGGAATCAGCTAGACTGACTCAAGACTCAGACCAGCTGATGAATTTCAGAAACGGAGGTGTGAGTGAGGGTCTTACTCTGAAAGGCTCTGCTGTCTGTTAATGACACTTTTACCATGTTACTATCAGGCCAGGCTTTGCTGTGTGTAGTTGCAGCACATCCTGTTTGTCTGTCTGGCTGTTGGTGGTACAGACATGCTGCTTTCTGCTCAGCTGACTGCCCTGCAGCAGCAGTGCTGAATTCCACCAGTTAATTGCAATTATTTTAGCCCAGCCTCTGTTGTGAAACTACCACATGTGGGTGAATGTCTTAGTTTCTATTCGACATTTCAGGTAAAAAAAAATAAACTGCATAAATAAATGAGGTCTTTCATTGGTTAAACAATAAGTGGAAATAATTGTGTTAGTTTGTAGAAGTTAAGTAAGTACCTATTACTGTCAGTCACTTTCATGCTTTGGCTCTGCACTGCGTCCAGCTGACAATAAAATAAATGCATACAAGACAGGCTAGAGGATGCTCATTTCCACAGCAGTATCACATATTCCTGTTCATCATGATCATGTTTAAGGCTCCTTCTGCTGAAAGGCTTGGTCTTAGCATGTTGTTATGAGATTTCAAACAAGACGCATCTATAAAGTTCATGGTAACTGATACCGTGTTTCTTTCCCAAAGCACCTGCTGAAGTAAGAATTGTGCTGTTGGGAAAAACGGGATCTGGGAAGAGCAGTGCAGGAAATGTTATCCTGGGGGAAGAGAAGTTTGAAGTTTCAGCCGATCCTGATGGTGTAACACAAGATTGTCAAACAGAAGAAGGAAACTTTAATGGCAAAAAGATTAAGGTAACTGACACACCAGGGATCTTTGACCCAATGAGGTCTGAGGATGATCTGAAGCAATCCATAATATCCTGTCTCACTGAATGTGCTCCTGGTCCACATGCCTTCATCCTAGTCCTGAAAGTGGGAAGATACACTGAAGAAGAGAAAGAGTCTGTGAAGATGATACTGAAGTGGTTTGGGGAGGAAACCCTGAAGCACACAGTCATCCTCTTCACACATGGTGATAAGCTTAAAGAAAACCAGACCATTAAGGAATATGTAAAGAAGAACAAGGATCTGAAGGAACTTGTTGATAAGTGTGAAGGCCGAGTCCATGTCATTGACTCTCAACAGTGGAACAAAAAAGATGATAAAAATGCTCAATCTGCAGATCTCCTAGAAAAACTAAAGAAAATGATGATAAAGAAGAGAGAAGCTGGGGAGTCACAGGCTGTTCTGGCACTGGAAGAAGTGAAGAACATGCTGTTAGAACCAGAATCAACACTTGATCATGAACCGGGCCAAGGGTCTGAAAGATCTACAAGTTCTGGAGGAAACCTGGATGAATCAGAGTACAGGAGCAACAGCTTTCAGATTAAACAGATGCTGATAACTATAGACAACATGGTGACAAACAATGGCAGCAGTCATTACACAAATGAATCACTCCAGGTAATAGCAGAAGCTATAGACAAAGAGGTTAATAAGATAAAAGAAGAGCTGGAGGAGAGAGGAGAGAAAGCAGAGGAGTCTGTGATCAGGAGACGAGCAAGAGAGAGAGTGAGGACCAAGACTCTGAGATTTGTGGCAGGAGTTACTACTGGTGCTTTACTGGGGGCTCTGCTGGGTGTGCCTGTAGGATTATCAATATCACTTACATTGGTGGCTGGATTTTTAAAGGAGGTAGTAACTGCAGATTGTACACACCCTGTAGATACAATAGTGGAAGCTGTTAGAACAGCAGGGACATTAGGGTCAGGAGCAGCAGGGACATTAGGGTCAGGAGCAGCAGGGACATTAGGGTCAGGAGCAGCAGGGACATTAGGGTCAGGAGCAGCAGGGACATTAGGGTCAGGAGCAGCAGGGACATTAGGGTCAGGAGCAGCAGGGACATTAGGGTCAGGAGCAGCAGGGACATTAGGGTCAGGAGCAGCAGGGACATTAGGGTCAGGAGCAGCAGGGACATTAGGGTCAGGAGCAGCAGGGACATTAGGGTCAGGAGCAGCAGGGACATTAGGGTCAGGAGCAGCAGGGACATTAGGGTCAGGAGCAGCAGGGACATTAGGGTCAGGAGCAGCAGGGACATTAGGGTCAGGAGCAGCAGGGACATTAGGGTCAGGAGCAGCAGGGACATTAGGGTCAGGAGCAGCAGGGACATTAGGGTCAGGAGCAGCAGGGACATTAGGGTCAGGAGCAGCAGGGACATTAGGGTCAGGAGCAGCAGGGACATTAGGGTCAGGAGCAGCAGGGACATTAGGGTCAGGAGCAGCAGGGACATTAGGGTCAGGAGCAGCAGGGACATTAGGGTCAGGAGCAGCAGGGACATTAGGGTCAGGAGCAGCAGGGACATTAGGGTCAGGAGCAGCAGGGACATTAGGGTCAGGAGCAGCAGGGACATTAGGGTCAGGAGCAGCAGGGACATTAGGGTCAGGAGCAGCAGGGACATTAGGGTCAGGAGCAGCAGGGACATTAGGGTCAGGAGCAGCAGGGACATTAGGGTCAGGAGCAGCAGGGACATTAGGGTCAGGAGCAGCAGGGACATTAGGGTCAGGAGCAGCAGGGACATTAGGGTCAGGAGCAGCAGGGACATTAGGGTCAGGAGCAGCAGGGACATTAGGGTCAGGAGCAGCAGGGACATTAGGGTCAGGAGCAGCAGGGACATTAGGGTCAGGAGCAGCAGGGACATTAGGGTCAGGAGCAGCAGGGACATTAGGGTCAGGAGCAGCAGGGACATTAGGGTCAGGAGCAGCAGGGACATTAGGGTCAGGAGCAGCAGGGACATTAGGGTCAGGAGCAGCAGGGACATTAGGGTCAGGAGCAGCAGGGACATTAGGGTCAGGAGCAGCAGGGACATTAGGGTCAGGAGCAGCAGGGACATTAGGGTCAGGAGCAGCAGGGACATTAGGGTCAGGAGCAGCAGGGACATTAGGGTCAGGAGCAGCAGGGACATTAGGGTCAGGAGCAGCAGGGACATTAGGGTCAGGAGCAGCAGGGACATTAGGGTCAGGAGCAGCAGGGACATTAGGGTCAGGAGCAGCAGGGACATTAGGGTCAGGAGCAGCAGGGACATTAGGGTCAGGAGCAGCAGGGACATTAGGGTCAGGAGCAGCAGGGACATTAGGGTCAGGAGCAGCAGGGACATTAGGGTCAGGAGCAGCAGGGACATTAGGGTCAGGAGCAGCAGGGACATTAGGGTCAGGAGCAGCAGGGACATTAGGGTCAGGAGCAGCAGGGACATTAGGGTCAGGAGCAGCAGGGACATTAGGGTCAGGAGCAGCAGGGACATTAGGGTCAGGAGCAGCAGGGACATTAGGGTCAGGAGCAGCAGGGACATTAGGGTCAGGAGCAGCAGGGACATTAGGGTCAGGAGCAGCAGGGACATTAGGGTCAGGAGCAGCAGGGACATTAGGGTCAGGAGCAGCAGGGACATTAGGGTCAGGAGCAGCAGGGACATTAGGGTCAGGAGCAGCAGGGACATTAGGGTCAGGAGCAGCAGGGACATTAGGGTCAGGAGCAGCAGGGACATTAGGGTCAGGAGCAGCAGGGACATTAGGGTCAGGAGCAGCAGGGACATTAGGGTCAGGAGCAGCAGGGACATTAGGGTCAGGAGCAGCAGGGACATTAGGGTCAGGAGCAGCAGGGACATTAGGGTCAGGAGCAGCAGGGACATTAGGGTCAGGAGCAGCAGGGACATTAGGGTCAGGAGCAGCAGGGACATTAGGGTCAGGAGCAGCAGGGACATTAGGGTCAGGAGCAGCAGGGACATTAGGGTCAGGAGCAGCAGGGACATTAGGGTCAGGAGCAGCAGGGACATTAGGGTCAGGAGCAGCAGGGACATTAGGGTCAGGAGCAGCAGGGACATTAGGGTCAGGAGCAGCAGGGACATTAGGGTCAGGAGCAGCAGGGACATTAGGGTCAGGAGCAGCAGGGACATTAGGGTCAGGAGCAGCAGGGACATTAGGGTCAGGAGCAGCAGGGACATTAGGGTCAGGAGCAGCAGGGACATTAGGGTCAGGAGCAGCAGGGACATTAGGGTCAGGAGCAGCAGGGACATTAGGGTCAGGAGCAGCAGGGACATTAGGGTCAGGAGCAGCAGGGACATTAGGGTCAGGAGCAGCAGGGACATTAGGGTCAGGAGCAGCAGGGACATTAGGGTCAGGAGCAGCAGGGACATTAGGGTCAGGAGCAGCAGGGACATTAGGGTCAGGAGCAGCAGGGACATTAGGGTCAGGAGCAGCAGGGACATTAGGGTCAGGAGCAGCAGGGACATTAGGGTCAGGAGCAGCAGGGACATTAGGGTCAGGAGCAGCAGGGACATTAGGGTCAGGAGCAGCAGGGACATTAGGGTCAGGAGCAGCAGGGACATTAGGGTCAGGAGCAGCAGGGACATTAGGGTCAGGAGCAGCAGGGACATTAGGGTCAGGAGCAGCAGGGACATTAGGGTCAGGAGCAGCAGGGACATTAGGGTCAGGAGCAGCAGGGACATTAGGGTCAGGAGCAGCAGGGACATTAGGGTCAGGAGCAGCAGGGACATTAGGGTCAGGAGCAGCAGGGACATTAGGGTCAGGAGCAGCAGGGACATTAGGGTCAGGAGCAGCAGGGACATTAGGGTCAGGAGCAGCAGGGACATTAGGGTCAGGAGCAGCAGGGACATTAGGGTCAGGAGCAGCAGGGACATTAGGGTCAGGAGCAGCAGGGACATTAGGGTCAGGAGCAGCAGGGACATTAGGGTCAGGAGCAGCAGGGACATTAGGGTCAGGAGCAGCAGGGACATTAGGGTCAGGAGCAGCAGGGACATTAGGGTCAGGAGCAGCAGGGACATTAGGGTCAGGAGCAGCAGGGACATTAGGGTCAGGAGCAGCAGGGACATTAGGGTCAGGAGCAGCAGGGACATTAGGGTCAGGAGCAGCAGGGACATTAGGGTCAGGAGCAGCAGGGACATTAGGGTCAGGAGCAGCAGGGACATTAGGGTCAGGAGCAGCAGGGACATTAGGGTCAGGAGCAGCAGGGACATTAGGGTCAGGAGCAGCAGGGACATTAGGGTCAGGAGCAGCAGGGACATTAGGGTCAGGAGCAGCAGGGACATTAGGGTCAGGAGCAGCAGGGACATTAGGGTCAGGAGCAGCAGGGACATTAGGGTCAGGAGCAGCAGGGACATTAGGGTCAGGAGCAGCAGGGACATTAGGGTCAGGAGCAGCAGGGACATTAGGGTCAGGAGCAGCAGGGACATTAGGGTCAGGAGCAGCAGGGACATTAGGGTCAGGAGCAGCAGGGACATTAGGGTCAGGAGCAGCAGGGACATTAGGGTCAGGAGCAGCAGGGACATTAGGGTCAGGAGCAGCAGGGACATTAGGGTCAGGAGCAGCAGGGACATTAGGGTCAGGAGCAGCAGGGACATTAGGGTCAGGAGCAGCAGGGACATTAGGGTCAGGAGCAGCAGGGACATTAGGGTCAGGAGCAGCAGGGACATTAGGGTCAGGAGCAGCAGGGACATTAGGGTCAGGAGCAGCAGGGACATTAGGGTCAGGAGCAGCAGGGACATTAGGGTCAGGAGCAGCAGGGACATTAGGGTCAGGAGCAGCAGGGACATTAGGGTCAGGAGCAGCAGGGACATTAGGGTCAGGAGCAGCAGGGACATTAGGGTCAGGAGCAGCAGGGACATTAGGGTCAGGAGCAGCAGGGACATTAGGGTCAGGAGCAGCAGGGACATTAGGGTCAGGAGCAGCAGGGACATTAGGGTCAGGAGCAGCAGGGACATTAGGGTCAGGAGCAGCAGGGACATTAGGGTCAGGAGCAGCAGGGACATTAGGGTCAGGAGCAGCAGGGACATTAGGGTCAGGAGCAGCAGGGACATTAGGGTCAGGAGCAGCAGGGACATTAGGGTCAGGAGCAGCAGGGACATTAGGGTCAGGAGCAGCAGGGACATTAGGGTCAGGAGCAGCAGGGACATTAGGGTCAGGAGCAGCAGGGACATTAGGGTCAGGAGCAGCAGGGACATTAGGGTCAGGAGCAGCAGGGACATTAGGGTCAGGAGCAGCAGGGACATTAGGGTCAGGAGCAGCAGGGACATTAGGGTCAGGAGCAGCAGGGACATTAGGGTCAGGAGCAGCAGGGACATTAGGGTCAGGAGCAGCAGGGACATTAGGGTCAGGAGCAGCAGGGACATTAGGGTCAGGAGCAGCAGGGACATTAGGGTCAGGAGCAGCAGGGACATTAGGGTCAGGAGCAGCAGGGACATTAGGGTCAGGAGCAGCAGGGACATTAGGGTCAGGAGCAGCAGGGACATTAGGGTCAGGAGCAGCAGGGACATTAGGGTCAGGAGCAGCAGGGACATTAGGGTCAGGAGCAGCAGGGACATTAGGGTCAGGAGCAGCAGGGACATTAGGGTCAGGAGCAGCAGGGACATTAGGGTCAGGAGCAGCAGGGACATTAGGGTCAGGAGCAGCAGGGACATTAGGGTCAGGAGCAGCAGGGACATTAGGGTCAGGAGCAGCAGGGACATTAGGGTCAGGAGCAGCAGGGACATTAGGGTCAGGAGCAGCAGGGACATTAGGGTCAGGAGCAGCAGGGACATTAGGGTCAGGAGCAGCAGGGACATTAGGGTCAGGAGCAGCAGGGACATTAGGGTCAGGAGCAGCAGGGACATTAGGGTCAGGAGCAGCAGGGACATTAGGGTCAGGAGCAGCAGGGACATTAGGGTCAGGAGCAGCAGGGACATTAGGGTCAGGAGCAGCAGGGACATTAGGGTCAGGAGCAGCAGGGACATTAGGGTCAGGAGCAGCAGGGACATTAGGGTCAGGAGCAGCAGGG